AAGAAGAAGAAGAAGAAGAAAAAGCACAAAATGCCTACTTTTTGCGGGAAGTGCAGGGGGTCACGGGCTTCTGGGAATTTCACAACCAGGTGCGCCACGTGTCACGGTCGTGGCGACACGCACATTCGTATTCCCACATTTTGTTGGGACCCACATTTGTTAGTAGAGGAACTTTTGGTGAAAATTGGGGATCCTCACCTGGGACTTAGGAACATAGGATACAGTTAAGGGATGGTTAGCAGTAATCTTTGTAGATGTTCACTGTTTGCCTTACTTCCTTTGTCTGTGGGTGGGTATGTTTGTCAGCTAGACAGATTTGCAGATCGTGGTTTGATTGGGGTCTGTTGACAGACAATATCTACTAGTGGCTGTTTGTTCGACCAACCTGGACTGCTCGGTTGTTAGTTAGCCACAGGAGGCTGGCAGAAGGACCTTGTTATGAGGAGGGAGCGTCATTTGTATGGAGGGATCTCTCCAAGACCCCTCTCCACCGAGTATAGGTGGACATGTAGGTGCATAGCTCGTAGTGTAGTCTTGGGATTGTGGTAGTGGTAGGTTGTTTCCTTGTGGTTTGTGTGGCTTCTTTTGATGGGTGGGCCATTCAGTCAGGGCAGCGGTCTTGCATTGGCCATGTCTGCCACTGGACACCTTTTTGGCCTATCACCTGAACCCAAGCTGGGTCATGGTCGCAGTATTTGTTTTCCGGGTTGTTTGTGGAGGGATTCCCGGCCTCCTTTTTCTCTTGTAATAAAAGTGTCTCTCTTGTAAAAAAAAAAGAAAAAAAAAAAAGGGGCATCCCACATGGTTCCCCGTCCCAAGGCATTGGAAAACTCTCCGGCTGTTTCTACTCTCACGAATGTGCGTGTCGCCACGGCCTTGACCCGCCACGCAACTCGTTACGAAATTCCCAGAAACCCGTGACCCCCTGCACTTCCTCCAAAACGCAGGGATTTTTTGGGATTTTTCTTTTCTTTTGTGTCGCCGTTGTCCGGTTTCGTGTGTGTGGTCGTCGTATGTGGGACTGGAAACTTCTTGAACGGCGCCCGTGGGTTGCTTTTCGAACCAGGTACCTCCGCAGGACCTGTTCATGCCCACCACAAATCGCCTACCTTCTCCCGCGAACACAATGCACCCTCATTTTGACCATATCGGGCCCGAAACATACCTTATATGCGTTACGTTCTCAGGGTGCGTTATGTTCGGGAGAAAATGGTAGGCAATCGGAAAAGCCCCTCAGCGGCCGGGCCTATGGGATTCAATTTTTCTTTTACGAACCGTTGGCCAAAAAACAAAATCCCGTTGTGGAATCCGGCCCTTATAATTCTCCACCAACGGAGGGCAAGGATTCCCGTCTTCTAATAGCGAACGGCGGGGTGCTGCACGTGAGCGGGCAGCTGCTAGAAGAAGGTGAGATCTCCGTGTTGCTCGCCGTTCGGTCTCTCCTTCTTCCTCACTCTCCCCCCTTCCACCTCTTCCGCCTCCTCCTTCCCCCCTCCACCTCTTCCTCTTTCTCCTCCGGGTACCGTTACCTCTCCAAGAACGACAATGTCCTCCTCCTTCTCCTCCTCCCACTACAGGTTCTACCTCTATTACTACAATGCTGCTGCTCCTCCTCCTCCTCTACTCCTACTACTACTACTACTACTACTACTACTACTACTACTAGTAGTAGTGCTACTACTACTATGAATACGACCATAGCAACAATGTCAAGTACTAGAACCACTGTACAACTACGAATGCAGAAACAGCGACGATTCGACGAGCTCGGACTCGAATTACTGCGCGCCAACGAGTAAGGAAATCGCAACAGAGGCAAGAGCTACTAGCACTACTGTTCAATAACGGATACTAACATGAGCGGCGAGACAACAGCTTCTTCTACAGTTATTTCTACAGTTGTACCGCTGCTGCTGACGGTAGTGTGATCGAAGCTGTTTTCTCCCACAGTAGTAGTACCACCAGCAGCAGCACAATGGCAGCATACTGCTGCGGGCGGTAGCCGTTCGGTCGATACTGCAATTGAAGCTGTTTTATGGTAATGATTGTTGCCGGGCTGCTGCTACACTGCTGTTGTTCATACTGTTATTACTCCTTTGTTCAGAAAAGTCCGACATATCTTGCGGCGATGGCGGCGTTCTATGGACCCAAATCGTCAAACCCTACCAGTTTCCGGCTAAAAATGAAACCATGCTCGTCCTCGTTCTGGTGCTAATACCGTCATCCCGGTAATCATGTCTCTATGGGAGTGATGAGAAAGGTCGATTGTCTACTCTCATCATGAGGGTGCGTTATGTTGTGGGGAAAAAGGTAGTGTTCCCTGCTTTTCGTTGTTCTCCTCGTCCTCCATCTCTCTTTTGGTCGGGATGATGATGTGGCAGTGCACTCAAAGGCCCCTCCATCCTCTCCCCACCCTCCCCCCTTTCCCTTACAACCCTCCCCTCCTTCCCCCCCTCCTTCCCCCCTGATGAGGGTGAGGTTGGTGCGCTAGCAGCCAATATGTTTCCGGGATGGATAGCGCGACACGGTAGCAAGATTCGTCAGGGAGCAAACTCGGTGTCCTTACTTTTGTGCAGAGTAAAAGAGAGTAGAACGGTGTTAATTGCCCTTGAAAGCCAATCAAACGATTACTACCAATCGATGTAGGATGATGACGTGGAGCTGACATGGCACTGATATATCGCTGATGTGGCATTTATGCGCGGGTGACATGGCGCTGATGTGTCACTACGATATGTGAACGTGTCACGATCGTAACCAGCTTCAGCAGAATTCGTCCAATCTCAGTCTTGAATTCACATGCTCACATCAACATAGAATTCATATGCTCACATTAAATTGAATTCACGTGCTCACATCGAAATAGGTGATTTACTAATCGCACACGGTCGACGAAAGACTTCTGATGCGCGCGCCATAGCCAGCCCAAGGGGCCGCATCGCAATGCAGGGGGGGGGGTGGGTAATTTCTGGAAAGCAGTTGTATATGGCGCTATCGGATGTTCCCCAATGCTGTTCAGAACTTCAGATGCGGAAGAGCGCATAGAGGGTTTTGATCTGGAATGCATCCCTCTCTCTCTCTCTCTCTCTCTCTCTCTCTCTCTCTCTATATATATATATATATATATAGATGTGTATAAGAGACAGGAGAAGAGGACAACAAACGAGGGGCTGTGACAAACTGTTTCGTCGGAGTTTCATATATATATCGTCACATAGATATCAGAGCGCAAAAGCGAAAAAAAACAAACAAAGGAAACAAAAAAATATCAATTCATTTTTCATCTTCTTCCTTACAAGACTCCCCCTGTTCAGAACTTCTTGCGTACTACAAGGCCGCTCACGTGGATGTAGGTTGAGCGGCGGCTGCCCCCACCCCCGTGTGTCATATCGACCCACTTGCACACAGCCAAAAGGCGAAGAGGCAAAGAAAAGAGGAAGGGAACAGCCAAACATTACAGAACAGGGGGCAAGCGAATCCTAGATGACAAGTCCCACATGCAGACACCGCCCCCGACAGCACAGGCCAAATGACGGGACAAACCAGCCAGGATTCAAGACACGGGAACTGTGAGATGGTTGAACGATGAGCCAGGCCATTTTCAACATAAATGAATACCAGAAAACAAATTCTACCATAGCAAAGCAAATCCTAAATGACAATCCTAGATGACAAGTCCCACATGCGAACACCGCCCCCGGCAACTACAGGCCTAACGACGGGACAAGACCAGCCAGGATGTCATACCAAAAAAAAGAAGGACCCGGATGACCAGTCCCACATGAAAGCACCGCTACCAGGATCAACCAGGCAACATCCCAAATAGCCGAACAACGGGACAAACCAACCGGGACGCAGACAAGATCACCGCCCACCGCCACGCCCATAACATAGCCCGAACAACGGGACCAAACCAACCGGGATACAGACAAGATCACCAAAACAAATTCTACCATATCCATAGTTAAAAAAACGGAACCATACAGTAGGTCCGTAAAACGAAATACCCCCTACAAAGGGGGAGAGCAACACAAGAGAATATGGGATGACAGGACAATGACTCAGGCTATATCTATCTATGTATTATCTCTCTACCTGTCTGCTTGTTTTTTTTTTTTTTTTTTTTCTTTTTCCTTGTCATTAATTCCAAACGTGATGACATAATATTCATGCTACCTTGTAGTCTTTGATGATCACATAATTTCTGTAATAATTCTGTTTGCTTGTTTTTTTTTTTTTTTTTTTTTTTTGTGTGTGTGTGTGTGTGTCATGACTTCCTCGATCTGCCTTCCTCTCTCTGTACCGCGCATGCAAATCTCTGCGTCTCTCTGCGTGTTTCTCCCTTTACTTCCTCCCCATGCTCTGTGTGTCATGCATGCAAAATAAACTGTTAAGATACTGAGGGCTGTTTTGTTTGTGTGCCGAGCAGGTTACGTGTGTCAGGAGACTGCAGAGCAGAGAGAACAGTGTGCAGAAGAGCTGATGACTAAGCAGAGAGAAGATTCTCCCGAGGAGCACGGCACAATGTATACAAGACGTCCTGGAAATTCTGCAGAGCAGCAGCAGCAGTGGGCTTGACCAGCTATATACTTTGATTAAAAACTTTCGTCGTTGTGGGGGTACTGGTGCGTGTGCAGGTAAAACTCGCAGCAGTTTGTACCTTATCGTTTCTCTCTGTGTAATATATAGAGCAGATGGCAGTCTCTGAGACGTTCCGAGTGAAGGTGGTACATGGAGAGGGACTTAAGGGATGGTCGATGCTTATCTCACCGGAATTATACGTCCAGCTTAAGTGGGGGGAAGATCAGCAAGTCACGGCGAAGAAAAAGGCCCGACGGCGAGGAGGTGCTAATTACGTCCTCTGGGCGGAAGAGTTTGAGTTCTCAAGAAGTATAGCAGGGAGTGGATCAAAGATAGAAGTCAATTGTTTTCAATCTAATCTGTTCTTAGACGACACACTGCTAGGGAGCGGTGAACTGTCTTTGGAGCCGACTTTCACCTATGGGAACCAAGATGTCTATGTGCAGCTTCCCAAGGGCAGCCATGAAGCGGGTAGCCTGAAGATAGTCACATCCTTCAAGCCGAATAAGCAACCTCAGTCGTCTCCCGATACCATAACATCGCCATTGTCACTCCACGAATCCCCCTTCCCTCCTCCCAATATCCCAACCCCACTTACACACCCTGAAGATGACCAGTCCCAGTATCCTCTGGCAGCAATTATGTCGGCACCTCCCCAAAAGCATTGGAGTCCCACAAGGGCGCCTGCAGGCCTACAGGACCCCCCAACGTCTTATTGCCCCCTAGCCCACAGCAGTCCCCTGCCTGGCACTTTCGCCGAATTCCTAGCAGACAACCCCCTGCAGCACTATCCTCCAGGCAATTTCGCGCAATTCCCAGCAGAGAACCCCCTGCAGCACTATCCTCCCGTGCAAGCTCGCGGGCTGCAAAATTCCTCCTCACAGTTTGCTTCCTCACAGTATCCTCCCCCACAATACAATTCCCAATATTACCCTCAACAGCACCCCCAATATCCTACTAACGTAGCCGCAATTGAAGTTCATGAGATCCCCGCCCAGGAGGGCGATCCGGTCCTTGGAGAATAAGTACCAAGGATGAGGAGGAGGGGATATTTCGCAATCAAGGGCAACTCGGGAAAAATGCACCAACCGTAAGACAAGAAGGGCACTTAAAAAAAATCAAAGTCCTGTGAATGGTTTCACACAAATCTTTCTGTGGTGGTGTGTTAAACCACCTCTACTTCAGTCAAGGTCTTTTTTACCGATCCCGCAAATAAAGAGAGAACCGCCGACAGGTAATTGAATTGGTTGGGCTTAAAGAATTAGCCTTTTAAAACAAAAATACATCGCGAACTGGCGTGGGCGTGATTTCTTTTTGTTGTGGCTGCCGGGGCCAGCCATCTGGGTGCGGTAGCCCGGGAGACCCAGAAGTTGTGGATGGATACATTTACAATCTTCTTTTGTTTGCCTGCGGCGATGTAGCTCAGTGGTTAGAGCACCGGTTGGAAATGCGCATTGTGGTATGAGGTTGCGGGTTCAAATCCGCAGCCTCGCGCATGGACACCGGGAGGGCGTTAGAATGACGCACGGCTGGACACACACCCCTTGGGCTGACGCATGGTAAGCTATTACAGACACTGCCTGCGCACCACCCAGGGGACTGTCCATGGTGTTGTATGTTGGGTCCTGGCCTATGAGGGGTTTGCCAGATACAGTTAGCAGTCTAATGAGGATGCAGGTACAGGTTTGTGGTTAGACTGCTCATGTGTGTTGGTTACCTTAGGCTCTGCTTTGGGGGGGGGCAAGGACCTGAGGTGGGATGGGGTCCCGTTTGGGGGGGAGGGTTGGCTTTGGACAAGCTCTGCTGGAGGATATCGATGGGGAACCTACAGTAGGGGATTGTCTTAAGGGATCCCGGTAGGAGGGGTGTTAGTAGACAGACTATGGTGGAGGAAATCGTTGGGGAACCTGCAGTAGGGGCTGTCTGAGGGGGATCCTCCAAGATAGGATGGTCTGGGTCCCATAAATTAGTTGCTGACTGTAGATAGGTACCTGTCGTGGGTCCAGAAACCGACCTCTACAACACCCTGGACTTTTTGTTTAAAAAAAATAAAAATAAAAAAGGAAGCGGTGGTCGTGGGTGAGTAGTGACCCATCATGCGAGGCTGACCTGGCAGAGTGAGGTTTTCCTGTTTTTTTAAAATTTTTTAAATGTATACAATACTGTACATTGTATGGAGAATAAATGCCCTGGTGATGTTTCACGACGTCTTACTGATGTCGGCTAGTCTTCTCTAGAGTTGGAAGCTTCACCATTGTTTTGATCATCCAAATTGGTCCATTCTATATTCGTGAGGAGTGGCAGAGATGGCAACCAGTGCCAGTGGCTCGACCGTATTAGGTTAGTCCTGTTGACCTGGTCTGCCTTATTTGAAGTTATTTCTCAAATCCTGTTGTAAGTCCTGCCAAGCTTCCTGTGTTTTAGATGTGATTGTGTCCAGTAGCACTGTCTTTGCTTGTATAAATCTGAGTTGATGTTGTTTCCTTTCAAATGAGCATCTTGCCCTCCATGGGGACATCAGCATGGCCCGTCTTGTGTGTATTTAAACAGGTATGCCCTGAAACCGTCCTTTTCTTTTCGCAGTCATCCCGCGTGAAACCCAGTAGGAAGGATGCCTTTCTCGGCCTTTTGGCTAAGTAAGATCAACTGTAGTATCTGTTCTGATCAGTTTAATATCTGATCTGTGGCC